AAAAATAGTGAAAGAGAATAAAGGGGAAAGGAGAAAAAATGAGTGGGAAATGTCAGAGAGGGAGACAGAACATGAGAGACTCCTAACTCTGGGAAACGAACTAGGGGTGGTGGAAGGGGAGTTGGGCGGGGGGTGGGGGTGACTGTGTGACGGGCACTGAGGGGGGCACTTGATGGGATGAGCACTGGGTGTTATTCTATATGTTGGCAAATTGAACACCAATAAAAAATAAATTTATAAAAAAAGAGTTGTTAAAATAAGAAACTAATTGAAAGGGAAAAAAAGAAAAAGAAATGGAATTTTTTAAACTAAAAGATTAATCAATTATGAGAAAAAACCTTGAATTCTATATACTATTTTCCCTGAGCACTGAAGTTTTATAGTCCTGTGTGGTTCATAAGCTTGCTGTTCTTCTGTTCTTCCAGTTGGTCTTCTCGGGGAGGGGCCTGCAGTGATGATTCTCAGGTGTCTGTGCCTGGGTGCAGTTGTGCCAGGAGACCAGGCTCAGTGTAAGATGATTTTGGTTGCTCTGTGTGGCTTGTGTTCCCTGCAGGGTTTCCTCACCCCTTTAGAGGATCAAAATAAAAATGACTGGCCCCAGTCTCCATCCCCAGAGCCATAGATTGTGGTCCCCTCTCTTAAGTAAACCCTTAGAGATAAGTGGTCCTCACTTTTGTGTGTGCCACAGTCTGCAGACTCCTTTTGAGGGAAGGCAGAGGGTCTGGTGTTTCTGTACTTGTAGCACCCTGACACGGAGAGTGGTCACCCAGTTGATTGTGCACCCACTCCACCCCTCTCAGGGAAAGGTGGAGGGTCCCCACATTCCTGTCCTTTGCAGAGTCCCCACTTAGAGACCAATTACTCGATCGGGCTATGGCTCACTGTTTATGGCAAAGTGAGCTGAGAGCCCCCTCCAGGACTCGTTGACTGTAACCAGGTTCCCAGCTCCAACACTTGGGAACTCTACTGGCTCAGGCACCCCCATTGTTTCTGTGAATCTGGGAATCCTGACACCAGACTGTCTCACCTAGAATTCTGCTCTGTTTCACCACGTGAGCACCTTTCAGGCAGCAATGTTTGTCTCTGGAGCAGATTTTTAAGAGTTCTGACTTTGCCCTCCAGAGCTGTATCTGGCTTACAGAGCTATTACTTCCCTCCCCCACCATTTATCTTTAGATATCTCCCCTCAGAATCACTGCTCTGAACATCCTACCTTGCAAAAAGCGGTCACTTTTCTATTTGCAGAGTTCCAGGTATTCTTGTCTTACATATTGGGTTGAATTCATGAGTGTTCAGAATGATTTGATGGTTATTTAGCTAAATTCAAGGGACCAGATGAAGCAAGGTCCCCTACTCTGCTGCCATCTTGCCTCCCCCTTATCCTGCTATGGAGCTTCTTTTGACATTTTTCTTATGTATGTCTACTAACAACAAATTATCCTAAAGCCTTTATTTTTTTCTTCATTTTGAAAAGATCATTTCACTGGATATAGAAATAGGCAGGCTTTTCTTTCAACATTTTAATGATATTTAATTACCTCTTGGTTTATTTAGGTTCCAATGAGCTATCCATGGACATTCTTATCTTTGTTTCTCTGTATATATTATATCATTTTTCTTGGTCTGCTTTTTAAGATTTTATCTCTATCTCTGGTTTTCAGCAAATTTATTATCATGAGCCTTGCTATGATTTTCTTTACATTCACCTTGCTTGTGGTTTATTGAGCTTCTTGGAACTGTGGATTTATAATTTTCATTAAATTTGTATGATTTTCATTAATATTATGTCACTGACTTTTTCTATTCCCACTACCTCCTGACACTCCAATGATATGTATTTTAGAATACCTCATATTATCCCACAGATCACTGAAATTCTGTTCAGTTTTTCCATATTTTTTCCCTCTGCATTTCATTTTGGATAATTTCTATTGTGGTTATTTGATTTCATAGACTATTTTCCTGTGTAATATTTAATCTACTATTAAGCTGATCCAGTGAAATTTTCATCTCAGATTTTGTAGTTTTCATTTATATAGGTTCCATTTAATTCTTTTTTGATATTTTTTTACGTCCTCATTCTATTCATGCTGTCTTTTTTAAATACTTGAGCACATTTTTAAAATCCTTGTCTGCTGATTGCATTATCTCTGACTCTACTTTTATTAACTGATTTTTCTCTTGATGATCAGCTCATTGTCCTGCTCTTTTGCATATCTAGTAATTGCTTCCTGGCTGCTAAAGTTGGTGACTATTCCGTTGTAGGGTGTCTAGACTTTGTTTCCTTGTTTAAAGAGTGTTGTATATGCAGTAAAAATGTTTGGCAGACAGTATAACTTGAAGATGAATTTGTTTCTTTCAAGATTGTTTTTAAGCTTATTTGGGGCTTGTTTTTAACCTTTACTTAGGGCTAATTTATTCATATTAGTAAAGTAAAGACTAGTAAGTAAAGTAAGATTAGTAAAGTAAGACTCTTCTGTGGCCTCTATTCTAATGCCCCCTAAGTTAGTTTTACCCTAGCTAGGTGGAACTTGAGTATTTCCCAATCCTGTAAATAGCTTTAGAGATTATTTACCCTGTAACTTCCCAACAGTCACTGGTCCAACTTCATGCAGTTTCTCTGTATGCATCTAAAGTTTACTATTAAGCAATAAATTCAAGGGGACTTCTGTGCTTATTCTGTGGTTTTTTTTCTGTATAGCTCTCTACTCTGCAGCAGTCTCCCTGACACATTCCAGCTGCCTACCCTCACTCCAACTCTGATCTGTTTTTTCAACTCAATGAACCTGCTATGTTCTGCTTAGCTTCTTCCTACCTGCACTGTGGCCTGAAAAGTGCCTCAAGGCCGGAAGTTAGTGTGATTGTAGGACTTCATTTGCTTCTGTTCTTACCTTTATCACAGTTCTGTACTGCCTGTTGTCCAAGATCTGGAAACAGCTGTTTCATATATTGTGTCCTGACTTCTTGTGCTTTGTGGTAGATCAGTCCCAGAATCAGTCATCCCATTATAGTCAGAGTGGAGCAATGCTGCCAAGTATTTTTTTTTTTTAACTTTGCAATTGAAAAGCAAACTTCTGGAATCAGTGGCTCTGTGGTGGAAGAGCATAAAGGGGAAGAGATTCAGAGGTAACTATATAAATTTATGTAACATTTGCCAGAAGTTTAAGCAATGCATTATATTCAGAAATATTTTCTTCTTGATTTCAAAATTGGAACTATTAAATTTATTTTGGGAAGTTTCTACTTTAGGTTCTATACTTCTGTACGATGAATGTTAATTAGATGGTTTCGTGAATATTGCAGTATTATTGATTTGGATCAATGATGATGATGGGGCAGTTGCTCCTGCTACTGATAATGACGACAACAAGATTTATTTAGGCACCTCCAATGAACCAGGCACTGTGTCAGGCTCTTTCCATCAGTTCCCTTTACTCTCCCACTAGAGGGCTGCACAGTAGAAGTTATGAGCTACAGAAACTCAGGGAGGTGATGTTAGTTCCTCCGGCTCACACACTAAGGAGTGAACACTCCATGACTACATTACTCCGTAGTGACCTAGTAGCTAGAGCCGGAGGACAATCTGAGCTCGCCTCAAATGGTGCCTCCTTCCACTACTCTGTTGCCCTCTGATGCTCTCTTCACCTGAGTTTTCCCATCTGGCACATTGTAGTGGAAAACAGCTAACTCTTTCCCTAGGGAGGCTGTGCTATTATATAGATGTTTTGCATTATTTTGCTTTGAATAAATAACATATAACATATAACATATAGCACTATATGTAAATGTGCTCCTGGAGGTTAAAATTGCATTTATTTTTTAAAGCTTGGCCTATCCCACTGGGATAAATAGTTGAAAATAAGGGGGAGGAAAAGGCAGGCTGGAGAGAATGTGAGTCACATGGAATTGCTCCTTCTTCCCCCTTCCTGCCCAACACATACTCCTGTTAGGATATAAGCTGCCATGGCAGAGGAAAGAGTCGTACATTTCCTATCATGGAGTCCTCACTGGTTCTGATAGTCAGCGTCCAGAGTGGATTAATCCAGACATTACTCATTAACTCTGCATCAGGATGATGTGCAGGGGCAGATGTTCTTGCTGAGAAGAATAAAAGCCTCCTGTAGCACCTGGAAGACTTTAGCACACACGGTCCCCAGCCAGATCACAAAGAGATTCTAGTGAACATGGGCCCTTTGCTGCCTCTAACCATCTACCTCTTGTTCAGAGGTTGGCATATCTCCTGGACTTCAGCTCTCCCATGGGCCCTGCATTGTTGAGCCCTCCCTATCTTCAATTGCCTTTCCTGGCATTTGAATCATCACTTCGATGATGTGATAATATCTGCAAGTTGGGAAAATAAAAGTGGCATTTGTTTAGCCATAATTAATGAAATATTTATGTTGCATGAGACTATGTGATAAAACCTTAGGCTTAGAGTCCTTTTGCTTCTGATTACATTTGGGATTTTTTTTTCTATGACCAGACATTCTGACGCCAGCTCTTTTACACTGAGCAGATGTCATGTAGTAAAAATGGGTGCCAGATGCTGTGAGCCACAGAAGGGCGATTTGTTTAAGAGCTGGCTCTGACTTTTTTGCATTCAATTACTCTGCAGAACAAACCTTACACGAGCATTTAGGTAACTCAGCTAACTTCAGACAAGCATTTTAATAATAGATTTCATCTCTGAATGCATTCTAACCAACACACCATATAAATGGTGTTTAAGGAATTAATTGATTTCTGCATAATACCTTTTTTTTTTAATATGAAAGGAGAGCTGCAAAGCTTTTGGCAGGGACCCAGAAATGTAATTAACGTGGAGGGCCAAATTTTCAGTTGCCCTTAGGTACTGCCTCTTCCGACTCACGGCAGGTGCAGTGAGGGAAGGGCAGGGAGGAAGGGAATGACGGTAAGAAGGGAGGAGGGAGATGCAGTTTGGGGTCACGAGGCAGGAAAAGAAGCTGGGGTTTCAGTGAGTTCTTCTGTTCCCATTTCAGGTCCCCGACACATCCCCATCCAAACGCAGGTGACAGGGGCCACCTCTTCTACCTCTAACACCAGCATCTCCTCTGCAGATGAAGATTTTCATCCCCAACCTTCCTTGCGGTCAAAGGTAACTACACTTGGCAAACCAAAGAGGGCCTTGGCTTGTGGGGGCCATTTACCATCCGGATTTCAGACCCAATGTGGAGTCCAGCTGCAGTGGTTTCGTTAGGAGGATCACGTTTCATTGCATCTGACAGCAACCGCTTTTTACCTGGAACACCCTAAGAATTATCTTTTTTTAAAAAAAAACTTTTAGAAGCTCGCCTTTCTTAGAGACTCCAATTGGCAGAAAAAAAAAAACAGACATATTTACTTAAAATCATTTGGTGACTGCAGCTCTTAAAGTGGGTTTAATACGTGGTCCAACAAGCAAACCATCGAAAAAATTACAACAAGCAGATGCATATTTCCCTGAGGGAAACACAGCTTCATTTAAGAAGCACTAGAGGCAGATTGCATGGAAAATGTTATGTTTATTCTAATCAGAAATATGAAATGAACCATGCAGTTGCATCTAGACACGGATACTCCAAGGGTCCCTGCTGTGGAAGGAGGGACTAGCTGCGTGCTGGCTAGGGAGATGGCTGTTCTCTTTGGTCCATGAATGTATTTCTGGAAAACACTTTAAACAATTCCCATACCCGTAGATTTAAAAGTGCAAACACCGTTATATGTCTTTAAATGTGTGTGTGTCATATACGTGAAGACACATCCCATGACCAAATCTCACTGTTGTTTTCTCTATCCACCGGGGCTAGAACATTTTCACTGGGACCGAGGGATGAATGGTTGGACCTAAAATGCTTCCCGGGAGAACAGAGAAGCAGTTCACTGTGCTAACAGTGTTTATTTTTTGGAGCAGTGAGGATCTGAGGAGAAAGGGAACCAAATTTATTTACTTAGACTCAACTTTTCCATGTCTGGCATTAGGAACTTTGGCGTCATCTCAAATCACTCAGGGGTTCCAGCTCCCCACGGCCCAGCTTAGAGCAAGGCAGGAGGGGCCTGGGACATGGCATGAAAGAGAGAGAGAGTGTGTGTGTGTGTGAGAGAGAGAGAGACAGAGACAGAAAAAGAGGAGGAGGAAGGGAGCGAGGGAAGGAGCGAGGAGGGAAGGATTGCAAATGAAAGAGAATATGTATGGGTTTCTCATTTCTAACTATGGGCATCTCTGATTGGTTCAGTATTCAGCACAAATGAATTTGGTGTGTGATGTTGATTCCTGGGGTTTCTTTGCTGTCCCCTCATCCCTTTAAGTGACCTTGAGTTAAGTGTGTATTCATTAGAATACAGACATTCATCAGCCATTCAAACAGCCACTCCAACACTCATGGGGAATAAGAAAATGGAATGGCCCAAATGCATCAGGGAGCAAGACCATAAGATCTAGGGCGAGCTGTGCAAGTAGCTCCTTGTCCTCCTGCTGGCCCAGAACAGAGCCTGTCAGCACTTAAGCTTGCAGCGTGGAAAAGCTTGCCTGCTTCACCTGGCCTCTGACCACTCTTACAGGAAGGGAAGCTGACCAAAAGGATATTTCTTTCCTACTCCCCACAGGCTCACCCTGAAACAACAAGGGTTTTCCCCCCTCTGGTTTCATCTCTTCTGCTCCATACAGGTGTGTCCCCAGCCCTTTGGCACAGAGCCCAGGTCAGCTCAAATGAACCTTTGTGCAGGAAACTGGAGACAGGATGTGAACACTCCACCCCTTCCATTTGCTTTGGCCCTCCCCACCACCACTCCTCCCAAAGCCATGCCTGGACCTGGGAGACCAGGGCAGGCACTCGTCCTCGGTCCTGCCAGCCCTCTCCCTCTCTCTGTCCTTTGTCTTTTCCTTCCTTGTCCGGAGTCTCTTTCCTTGCCTCTCTGTGCTGTCATTGCCACTTTTGAGGATATAAGGACTGGGACATCATAAGACTAGATGAGCATTTGTGAATAAATCATCCTTCTTTTCTGTGTCAATATATTTTAATAAAAGGCAATAGTGATTTTCTTTCCTCCTCCAGGTCCTAGTTCACTAACTCTTGATAAAGCAGTAGGGTTTTGGCAGCTGAGCTGTTGGAAGTGTTAAGATGGGGTGATGCTGCCAAGGCATCCCCCCCTTGAAATGATATTAAATGGTCTTAATTTAAGGGGAAACCTTGACATTCCTACAAGGCAGGGGTTTTTGACATGCCTTCACAGTATTGGGTCTAGGAAAGGCTGTGTAGACCAGCTGAAGACGTGGATGCTGGATTCAGGCTACTTGGGCTTAACTCCTGGCTCTACCAATTACTAATTGTGCCATCTTGGCCAAGTTATGTAACTCCAAGGTTTGATTGACTTATCTGTACTCTAAGTGTAATGTGAGGAATAAATGAGCTGGTACATGTGAAGTAATCAGTGTAATATCTGCCATACAGCATTCAGGATGTGCTGGGGCTTATTAGATAAATTAATATAATGGAAGCTCAAGAGATACTTGTGAGTCTATAGATTGAATTAGAAAGTCTCTGGGCACCAGCTACCAGTAATCTCCACCATGCCCTCCTGCCCTAACCTTTCCAGAAAGGTCCCGCCTATTTAATGGTGAGCTTCCTACCCTCCCTCCCTCACCAAATGGCCCAGACCCTCTGTTCAGAATGGCTGACAGTAAATCAGGAGGTTATCTCATAAAAATAGAGATGATATGATATGGAATAAGTTTGAGATCAGAAAGCTAAAATTTCCTTCCAAGGATGAAATAAATCTTTAAGATTCTAGATCCTAAGGAGCATTCTAGAAAAATGAAATTTCATCATTAAGATAAATGTTTTCACTGATGACCCGTAGATACTCTGAAGTATCAAAGCTGGCTGCTTTCCTGAGGAGCATGATGGTCTCTCCATCCATAGCCATGGAATGGGTGACTGAATGACCAGGATCCACGAGTTCCTGGAAATGCACACACTTTTCAGGCATAACCTCTGACCTCTGTCATGGGCCTGAATTCCTCTGGCAGTACCTAGGTTAGGCCTATTAATCCATCCTTCCCTTGTGGATTTATACTCCCTTTAATGACCAAACATCCAGTTCAACCACAGATACTGAATGCCCAGGCACCAGACTAGCTGTAACAATGTTTTAATTCCATATTTGTTTCTGTCAGCATTAAAAAGAATTCTTCAGCATGCTCTAATCTTAATCCTAATATGTAGAAAGTGAAAGAGTACACAGCAAGAAGACAAACTCACAGTAAAACTAGCCCAATTTGAACATTTACTTGTATACATAGGACGTAGATATATGTGTATATTATATACAATTATATACACATGCACACATATATGAAAAGTACCTGATTTTATTCTATTATGATCATGCTAATTTATAATATGATAATCTGATAATCATGCCACTAATAATAAAAATCATAGTATTTATGTATTTATCCCATATTTTTTTTCAAGTATTCTATGAAGGGCATGACCCACATTCTCTCAATTAATTCTTATCACAGTCTCCATAAGGTAGCATTAAACCATTTTCATCACTTTGAAGTTCAGAAAGTTGTGTGGCATGCTGAAACTCACACAGCTTGGCTGGGATTTGATGCCAATTCTGCATGGCTCCGGGGCCCAGTGCTCTACCAGTATTCTCTGCTGTCTCTCCTACCAGAAGTGTCTCCTCTGCTTTCCAATATGTGGATGTGGCCACACTGTTACTTTTCCTTTCTCTGGTGTTTAAAACCTGGAAGTTGGGATCCCTGGGTGGCGCAGCGGTTTGGCGCCTGCCTTTGGCCCAGGGCGTGATCCTGGAGACCCGGGATCGAATCCCACATCGGGCTCCCGGTGCCTGGAGCCTGCTTCTCCCTCTGCCTATGTCTCTGCCTCTCTCTCTCTCACTGTGTGCCTATCATAAATAAATAAAAAATTAAAAAAAAAAAATAAAACCTGGAAGTGACACCATCAAGATCTACATCTATTTTCAATGCATCCATTTTGAGTGTTCTGGATTTTACAAGCCCGGGCATACACAAAACCCAGTGACAATGATGACATATTTGCGCAAGCAAAGTGAAGTAGGGAAGGGAAGCAATCTTTTGCCTACCTCAAGCCCAGAAACACTTGTATCTGGATTATTTAGACACATTCCTCTATTCCCAGGTTTAATTAGGCAATGTAGACCCACCTGAGGATTGTTTAAAGATATTAAATTGTTTTTATGGTGTGTGTGTTTATGTGTAAGTGTGTGTGTTTCCCACCACCCAGGCTCATCCTTAGAGCTATGGTAGCATCTATGTAGAGTGTAGTTTTTGTGTTATTCTTTTCCTCAAGTGAACCAAATCAATTCTCTATAAAGCCACTCCCACTTTTACATCTACATATATACCACTCCCAACCCCAAACACACACACCAGTTTCCCAATCCAGCACCTACTAGCCACATGTGGCTATTTAAATTTATATTTGAGTTTATTAAAATGAAATTTCAATTTCTTATTCATGCTAGCCTCATTTCAAATGTCCAATAGCCACATGTGGCTAGTGGCTTACATATTTTAGCACAGATATATGACATTTCCATCATTGCTGGAAGTTCTATTGGACATCATTGTTCTAGAAGCTACACAGTGGTTTGGTTGGAGAAAGCAGAAGCCTGTGTCATTATTTTGCAGATTTTAACCTCATTTTTCTCAGATACAATTTTTCTTCTCTTGGTCTTTGTAGGAGAGGAAGACCCTTAGAAGAAGAAGGAAACTGGAGAAAGCAACAAAACAATTGGTTAAGCAAGAAGAATTGAAAAGACTTCATAAAGCTCAGGTCAGAAAACAAACTTGACTTGAGTGAGTGAGCCTGGCATCTGGGACCTGGGAATTGGGTTGGAAAGCCCTTGGAAGTCTGTATTGTGTTAGGGGAGACGGGCTGGGGAAGGTCAGTCTCTCTTCTCTGAATGACCAGATTCATTCTAAAGGCTCTAACTCAATCCCTGGTGGGACCATGGGGCCTGAAGAGCGTAGGTGTTGAGCTGGCCCACTCCCAACTGCCTTTCCATCTGCAAACATGTGTCCTGCAAGTGAGCCTGGAATGACAGCCAACACATGGCCTTGGGAACCATCCCAAGCCCTGACTGCCACATGGCAGTGGCCTTAGTCTTATCCTCTGTGAGGATACAACTTTCTCCTGACGTCCTGACAGTGCCCCTGCTGAACAGACAATCTATTAGGAGCTGTTTCTATTCCAAGGTTAGTCAAAAACATAAGCAGCTAGCATTTCAGTATAGATTCCCAGTCTTGATTGTTAGCACTAAACATTTCTGCCTGAATTGGTCTGTCCACGTCTGTCACAGGCAGACAAAGGATGCAGAAAGTCAAGGCATTCTCCACCTCCCTGAGGACCCCAGATGTAACCTTGAAGAATAGCAGCGTTTTAGGACCGAAGGACTAGAATGACCATTCATATTCATGCAGTGTTCCCTTCTGTTCCTTTCTGTAGTTACTTCCTTTTTCTGGCCATGTAGTCCTCCTGAGGAAGGAAGCCGCTTCACCTGAACTCCTTTACTCTTCACAGTGACAAGGGAGCCACCACTTTCACCTAGCGGACGGGGAAAATACCCACAAAGTCCCTCTGTCCCCTCTCAACTTCTGAAACAGATTTCCTTGTGAGAATGAGATAAGTCTTGGTGATATGGATTGACCGACTGGCCATCCTCCTCCTTATGGTCTCCCTCCAGATCACAGGTGGTGATGAGAACCATGATAGCCTTTGGTGGCCTCATGTGTTGGCACTCACAGCGGCCCTAAGTCTTCAAGATTTTCATCCTTGGTTTGAAGGAATGACCACTGTATAGCCTGTTCAGCGGCCATAACAACATAGCGCACAATATGTGACTTAAACAACAGGAATTCATTTCTCATAGTTCTGGAGGCTGGAAACCCAGGATCAAAGTGCCTTCAGGATTGGTTTCTGGTGCAGCCTCTCCTCCTGACCTGTAGACACTGCCTTCTTTCTGTGCCCAGGCAGAGAGAAAGAGAGAGATGTCTCTTGTGTCACTTCCTCTGCCCATCAGGTCACCAGTCCTACAGCATTAGGGGCCCACCCTTATGATCTCATTTAACCTTAACTACTTCCTTAAAGGCCCTATCTCTAAATACAGCTACATTGGGGGTTAGGGCTTCAATATATGAATTTGGGGGAGCGGAAACAATTCAGTCTGTAGCAACCATATAGCCATCAATGCATGACAGTCATAAAGTCATTTAAATTCCATTAGTTATTCTACATCATGCCATCAAGAGATGGATTAATAAAAATACAATTGTCTTTAGAAGAGAGGCAGAGGGCATGAAATTACAACAGTGTTACATAGATTTCCCGTCCATTTCAGATTTTGCATTAAAGACTGGGACATAAAAACTCTTAGCTGGGATGAGAAGAGCCAGGCGGCTGCTCAGGCCCGACCCCTGTTCACGTCTCTTCACAGGGTAGGAGGTACTTCAGTGATTGTACTCTGATTCCAGGGGAGACCAGGAAGATGTGGAGTTAAGGAGGAGAGGGGGTGAGAGGTGCAGGGAGGTGAGGGAGGGAAGACAGGCACTTTCTACCTGCCTAGACAGCTGCCAGCTGTACCTGTTTGGCCAGGTGCAAAGTCTGTTCTGCCCGAGATGTGTCTTCTGGCAGCATGCTGTTTAAAAGCAGAGGAAATTAATGGGGAACAGAAAGTGTACATGGGAAAGGCTTTCCCCTAATCTTTCTTCCTGGTACAGGCAAGAGAGAAATAGCCAGTAGGGAAACTAAGTACATAAAAGCAAACCCAGTCATGACCCCAAATGTTAACAGGTGCTGATTGTAAGTCTAGGGAGGGTGTGAGGTGGTCCCTTAATGGGATCAACACCTTGGGTCTTGTCTTAATAATCTGCTAGGAACAACCACTGTGCACTTCCACATAAGGAGGCCCCTGGGTGTTAGCCCTGTGGTCCACTGAAAGAAAAGTTCTAAGCTATATGGCTAGGACGGGAGCTGGACACATGGAGCAAGGCACGGCAAGCCCCAGGAATTGGCCCGGGGTCTCCGGCTCCAGACCAACTTCTCAGGAGGTAGTTGCTGGCTCTTCTTGGGAAAGTGGACCATGACTGTGCTCTGTTTGCCCCTAGAACCTCATTCTAGTTTGAGTAGTAGCTGCTGCTCTGTGGACGCTATGGCCAGTTGGAGGCCAAGGCTCAGAGGAGTCTGGGAGCCATGAGAACCACCTCTGGAGCCCGGCATCCTCTGCCCAAGGGCACGTCTGGTCATAGAGGACTCTTTTCGTGTCTATTCAGGGGCAGATTGAGCTTCCATACAGACTCTTTGCTTTATGTTTTCACACTGATGGAGGGAAATGTCAAGGTCTAGTTATCTGGGAATTCAGAGGTCCTTACCCAAGGAGGGACACCGTAAGGGACAAGGGCTCCTTCCTCTTCATCGACCCCCTCCTGTGACGCGGCGCCTCCAGAGCCCCAGTGTGACACACAATCCTGGCATTGCAGGCCATCCAGAGGCAGCTGGAGGAGGTGGAGGAGCAGCAGAGGGCCTCCGAGATCCAAGGTGTGAGGCTGGAGAAGGCGCTGAGAGGGGAAACAGGTAGGCAGCCCCGCAGATCGGAGAAGTGGGTGCGGGCCCCGTCTTTGGTCCAAAAATAGTGCCCATCTAACCCTGCTGTCACTGTGTGGAACCCATAGCAGGACCTGGGGCGCCAGGTCCACAGCTGCTTCACATTTCCCAAATCAAACCGATGGTCCAGGGTGAAATTCCTAAGGAACTGGTCAGCCTGTGGGCCTTCTCACTGGTTTTCTGGCCTGCCCAGTCTCACTTCTGCAAGTGTGGATGTTCTTTGCAAGCCAGGGGTTATGAGAAATTCAGGATAACAGTTTGGGTGCTCAGGCAATGTTGGTAGTGAGTCAAAGCCCAGGGAGGGACTCAACGTCCTTGTTTCTCCCTTTCCTAGTTGTGTATCTCTGGCCGGTCATGTTCTAAACTTCTATGACTTTTTGTTTTCTCCTCTAAAATGGAGGTATTTGTGGTTTCCTTTAGAACTGATATAAAGAAGGATGCCTGGGTAGCTCAGTGGTTGAGCATCTGCCTTCAGCTCAGGGCATGATCCCAGAGTCCCTCTGCCTATATCTCTGCCTCTCTCTGTGTCTCTCATGTCTAAACTAGTAAAATCTTAAAAACAAAGAATTGGCATAAAAATTAAATGAGAAATTATATATAAAAAATATATATATATAAAGAAAATAAATTAGCATATTGCCTGCCTAGCAAAAGAAATGGTAAGTGTCCCACGAATAAATAGCTTCAGACTCTTAGATAGATCCAAACAGGAGTCCTCTGGTAAAGACCTGCCACATGGGAATCATGCAGAGGGTGAGTCTATAGTGATGAACGTGGCATAGTTTCTGCCTTTGAGGGGTTCATGGTCCATTGAAGGACGCAGACCTGTAAGTAAATAAGCCGCACCGCACGAGGACAAGCGCTATGATAGAAACAAGCATTCGGGAAGGGGGGCACGGGAGCATAGTCATGAGGTTCCTCACTGATCTTGGGAGAAGGGGCTCAGGCTAAGCACCTGGAAGGGGCAACCCATTACAGTGGGAACCACAGAAGGAGTAGGAGTTCACCTATTTACTTAGGAAGTGAGGAGATTGTTCTGGAAGAGGGAATGGCACCTGCAAAGGCCAAATGTGAAAAAAAAAAAGTGAAATGCTTCAGTGAACAAGGAGCCAGCAAAGGATTCGAGGTGAGGGCTGGCCTAAAGAAACCCACATTTTTTGGAAGCCGCCTCAGCACTAGTTTATGGCTGGTGAATTGGAAGGCCCCTTAGAGTTAGCGGATGAGGGGTGGTATTATCTCTTTAGTTTTCGGATGTGATGTCTCTAGCCTTCTGCATTTTGGATATAACCTGTGAAAAACCAGACACTGAAAACCTATCTCTGCGTGCAGTTGCATAAACAACACGCTATTTGTTCGCCAACATAGAGGAAGGTTAGGATTTCGATTCCCTTAAGAGTTCAGTTCTGAGAGTGATGACACCAGCAGGGGCAGATCTAGATTTTGTGAGGCCGGAAGCCTGTGCAAAGTCACGCTGACAAAGTCATGAGGGGTGTTCCCGGAGCCTTGCAGGCCTCGACCCAGGGAGGGGCCCTGCAGTGCGAGCTTCACCAGCTGCGTGGTTACCCTGTTTCGGAGTCTCAGGGAAATGTTGGAGTCTGACTTTACCCTCTGAGCCTTGGTTCTGGTTTGTAAAGTGGGAGGGCTCATCATACCTGTTTCTGGGACATGTGGTGAGCGTTGGCCAAAACAATTTGTGTGGAAGCCCTAACATAGCACCTGGCATGGGATAGACAGTAAGTGTTTGTTCCTTTTCTTACTAAAGTACATCGTGCATTTCCTTGCAAAACTAACCCAGATCCACCTATCAGGAATAGACTTCATTGCAAAATAATAACTGTTTCCTGCTTGGAGTGAGAGTCCTGGCCTGTCTCTACAGCCGTTGCTGGGACTTTCGGTACAGTGAGCCGCTCCTGTTGGACGTACAGCCATATTCCCCAGCCAGAAGGCTCTGCACTGGGCTCTGGGAAGCCACAGATTTCAGTGAGAGCCTTAAGAACGAAAAGGATCAACATGCCAACAAAGCTAGGGCCTGTTTCAGTTTCCTGGGGAGGGAAGGTGTGGTGGTGCAGAAAGTCAAATAACAGGTATCAGAGAGCCCCGTGTTCAAATTCTGCTCCATTGCATTTAGGCTGTGTGACCCCAGGAGAATCACTTAACCTCTCAGCATGCAGATTCCTTATATGAAAAATGGAGCTAATGATCCTCACATTACCAGGTCGTTTTAGAATTAAGGGCGTTGGTGGGCAAAGTGTCTACCAGAGTGTCTACTGCCTTGCAGGCGTCACACCAATGCCACTTGATATCGTTTTTACAAAGTATTCTTAAATATCCACACACATACACTGTGAAAGAATTGACTCGCTAGTCTTCGCTGCTTGAAATTTAAATTCTAGAAACCACATTTTTAAAGCTTCTGAAAATCTCCTTCTCCTCCAAGTATAAAGAAAGGCTATTTTGAAGGATCGGCTAAAGAAAGCCAGCTTGTGTTTTCAAAGGTGTGTCGATCCAGCCAGAAGATGGATTCCCTTCATTCCCTTTACATCCTTAGTAATTCAATTCCCCTGTTCAGTCTATGGGCCTTTCCCTCGCCTTGGTTGTCCTTGCGTGGGTGACAGATGCAGCTCAACATGGGGCTGGAGCCTGGAAGAGTCAAGGAGAATGGGCCCCAAAGGAGACCAAATGGGAGATGTGCAAACCAGGCATCGAAATTAATACACTCCAACTTGTAATAACATTTGTGCAATAATAATACTCCCTTGCAGTTTAATATTCTATTCAGCCCCTTTAAAAGATGGCCCTGGTGCTTAATGAATGACCGATGCTTATTAGGTTAAGTTGTATTTGAGCTGGGCTGTGCTGCTCTGGTTCAAGTGATTTAATGGGAATTATTTAATAGGTATTATTAGGATAATTAGAAAATGATCACAGTTAGGCAATAATATTGAGCTATAAAGGTTGTGAATAACCAAATTTAGAGACAGGCCTGAAAACATGAGTAGTCTGTGACAGTTATGCAAGGCTCCTCTAATAATTACATGCGCCAGCCTGAAAGGCTCTTTTGTTCCTAGGAGTTATTCATTAGGCGGGCATTGAATTAGAGGAACATGCGGGGGTGCAGGATGGAGGGCAATGATGGCTGATGAGCAAAATGAAGCTTTGATGAGCTCCTAATTGTCGTGACAACAATTTCTTCTTTCTTTCTTTCCAACAGTCAGAAATAAGCTCCCCTACCCCCAGGAAGAGTTGTTCTCCATTTTGTCAAGGAAAGGGAAACAAAGAAAAACAAAAACCTAACAACCCACCCTAGATGACAACTCACGATGTCCTTTAGGGTGTGTGTTGGGAGGTGGGCAGAAGTGTTATGGATGGATGTCCTTGGAAAAAGGGAATGGATTCCTCTGGTGGTTCCAACTGCCCAGAGTAAAGGACCAGGATGTGCAGGGGTCTGACTACCCTGGGCCCCACCCTCTATGAGGAAGATAAGCCAAACTTTGCCAGCCACATAGACGCCTCTTGGTCAAGACACTGTTACCTACTGCTTTGTTATCAATGTGGTGGTCAGTGTTAAGGGCTAGAGCCATGGAATTCCCCAATTTTGCAAGAGACCGCCATTCAAATTTAGATGGTGTGGATAACACAATCTGTGCTTTCCTTCAACAGCTGGAGGCAGGTGAAATCTGATAGAAACTGAGAGCACCTTGGAAGGAGAAAAGATTTGTCCCTAGGGGCGGCATACGGGAATTACTTTTCCCTTATAGCTTTACCAACTTTGGGGTAAGGTTTACCAGCTGGTTGTCTGCATTGAGTTTGTTTGTTTGTTTGTTTGTTTGTTTGTAAGGTTTTTTGAGAGCCAGATGGTTCCTCCTTTGCAAAGATGGAGTTTACAAAGAAATAGCAGGATGTGCCAGGCTTCCAGTAGGTGGCAGCAGGAGCGCATGTTATCATGAGAGAACCCACAATGAAACCCTAGCCAGGAAGAGGGAAGTAGTTTGGCTTACACTCTGTGGTTTTTATCTTATTGGCTGCTGACAAACAAAAGAAATAATATTTTCCTTGATAATGTAACAATGAGGTATCCTGAAAAGAACACAGATACTGGAATCAGACACTTCTGAGTTTGAATCCCAATGCCATTCATAGATAATGGCCAGGAATAACAAGATTGCAAAGTTGATGGCTAAGCAAGCTAGGGATTTGGATGAGTTTGCCACAATTCTATGAACTAAAAGTAAACAGTGAAATTCAGGGCATCAGAGGACAGGAGTTTTTTTTTACGTAGAGTCCAGCAAACAGCAGGAACATAGCATGGTACAAGTTGCCCTGTACCCAAGTACTTCAGTGTGACCTAGTAGGCCCAGATGGCAGCTGTGCACACAGAAGATTGTGCCACAGCACAGGAGCTCAGGGCAAGGTACTTGGCAGCCTTTACAACAAGCACTGAACAAGCCAGCCCTCTCCCCAGAAGCAAGTAGTTATACAGTAGTCACACTGTGGTATCCTGACCTACTTCTCGGAATCATCTACTTGGCTGATTGCAGGAATGACTCAGGGTTGGAGGATGGTTGGGCCTTGCAGTTTGGCACACTCAGCATAAGATATCCAGGAATGCATAGGGTCTACTGCAGATTGCATTACACAACAAATAGTAATCATCCGTTGATTATGTGTTCACCTCTGACTCCAGCCTCAGTGGCCACCCTATAGAAAGTCAGTGGCCTAACAACAAAGATGGGCCCAGTGAGAGTGAGCCTGGGATTGTCATCCTAAAGAAGCCTTGAGTTTTCTCCACTCCATGGATTCTAGGGACATCGAGGTCTCAGAGTTATGTGCCCTAGAGCATAGCTTTATACAAAAAAACAAACAAACAAAAAACACCATGACAGCAGCAAGACATGCATTTTATGTTACAAGTTAGTACATATAAATACATAATTGAATAAAATTCATCAAGAGATAATACTGAATTTTGA